GAAGGTGGGAGGGCGTAGGCGCGTGTGGGCGGGGCCAACTCCCGGCCAGGAAGTGAGGGGGCGGGCCGCGGGGAGCAACCCCCGGGCTGGGCTGGGTCGGGCAGGCCGTGGGGGGGCTTCCAGGGGGTCGAAAAGAGCGCCCCAATCCCTGCGCGCCCCCAGCCCCAGCCCAGCCTGGGTTCTCGCCTGGCCCTACCCTGGGTGGGGGATGCCCAGGGCACTACAACTTCCCTCGCCACCTGGGCAGCGGCCGCCTCTCCCTGGGCTCAGGGACAGGGGCTGGGAACGCCCGCGGCTCCGGAGCCAGATGGGAATTGTAGTTCGCTCTCTCCCCGTTTGCTCGCCACGCTGGGCGACCCCCCTCAAAGGTTCTTTTTTCTTTTCTTTTTTAAAAAGTCTCTGATCTCAATTTGCGTCGTTAGAGCTGCCATCGGAGACAGGTAGGTGGGGTTGGGATGGTCACACCCATTTGGCAGATGGGCACAGTGAGGCCTGGGAAGAACGAAGGTGCATGGGAGGGGTGACGGTGAGGACGCTCCGGAGCTGGAGTGGGCTGGGGTCCCTCCACCACAGGCTTTTTTAAGCCTCGGCGGGAGTAGGACCTGTGACCAGACCTGGAATGTGAAGGTCGAGGACAAGTCCGAGATGGGCTGGAGAAGGTGGGGAGGGGAGGGGCTGGCTGTCCAGTGGTGTTTCTGGTTTCTGGACCAGACGCCATGAGACTGTGGGTCTGTCCAAAAGGAGAGATCATTTTAGTGGCTTTAGACAGCACGTTGGGGCCGGCCTGGTGGCGCACTGCTACAGTGCGCCGCTTTGGAGCGCGGCGGCACTCCCGCCGAGGGTTCGGATCCCACATACAGACCGGTTCCCGCTCACTGGCTGAGCGAGGTGCGGGCGCAGCACCGAGGGTTGCGATCCCGTTGCCGGTCCCGGTCCGGTACGGGCGCGACACTGAGGGTTGCGATCCGTTGCCGGACACGAAAAAAAGACAAAAAGGAAAAAAAAAAAAAAAACTAAATGAATTCTCAAGCAAGTTTGGCAGCCTCACATAAGAAAAGCACAGGTAATTTATACCTCAGATTTGCTAACTCATCCACACACTAGCCACATGTTTTAAATAAAATGGAAAGACAAATGCAATGTGTTTTTATACTCGGGAGCAATAAACATTGTAATGAAAATATTGTGTAAGGGAGACTGAAGACCTAGTTTTCCATAAACAGCAAGAGGTAGGAAAAAAAATCTTCTAGTCCAGAGATTGATACGTAAAAATTATTCCTAGTATTATAGTAACACTTATGAAAGTTTGCTTTGTTCTTTTGCTTGAAACTATAGCAACACTGGATATGGCAGCTAAATTATTTATTGAGAATAGATAAATCCTAGACAGCACGTTGTTTCATTAAAGGATCTGTTTGGGGTTTTCCCCCCACCTCCGACAGGGACCTCCTTGAGACGGGGCAGGGTCAGGGTCCCTGCGTTTAGGGAGGAGGCGCCCTGTGAGCGCTTGTACAGCTGAACTGCTCACCCCCCGGGAGCAAACAGGGTCTCCCATCTGATCTCAGAGGCCCTGCCCTGTGGCTTCTCAGGGCACACAGTCCGTGAGATGGAAAACAGAGTCGGGGTGTTACCCAAGTCAGTCAGGTGGAGAGGGGGAACCAAGGCTAAACCCCCAATCTAGGGACCCCCGTCACTGCCTCCGGGTCTCCGGGGGGCAGGGGCAGAAGTTGGGGTGGTTTGATAGAGGCCCCCCCGGCTCTCACCTGAGGAATCTGGGCCTCATGGGGGCGTGGCAGGGGCGGGGCCCGCAGGAAGTAAGTAGAGCCTGCTCCCCGAGACCACGGGGGGGCGCCAGAGACCACAGGAGGGGCAGGCGCTCGGGACAGAACCAAGTTCCCATCTGGAGCACGAGGAGGTGGGGACTGCGTCCTGGACGGGAAGATGGGCCTCTCCTCTGCCGCCCCCCCTTGAACACCCTGATCTTACCACTTACCCCACCATGGCCCCAGAGGTCAGCAGTCGATGGCCAACGGGCTTGGCCTCTGGGTTCTGGCTCATTCCATGTGTGACCTCCAGCAAGTCCCTTAACCTCTCTGAATGCTGAGTTCTCAGAAAAGTCCATGCCCCCGGGGCATCAGACTCCATTCCCACACAGTACAGAGGAAACTGGGAAACTGAGTCCCAGGCAGCACAAACCAAGTCCTGAGGACAAGGGCTGCACGTGGCAGAGTGGGACTGGCGTTCAGCACTCCCTGCCTCTCAGGCACTTGATTATTTTCGGCTCTGTGTTAGTTTTTGTCACATCTTTCTTGCAAGCCTCGGTTTCCTTGTCCGTAAAACGGGGGTCAGGCTCCCTGCTCACTCCTTTGCAGCTCCAATGTCGAAAATTCCTCAAAGGCTCAGTCGCTGCCTGACCCTGTTCCAGCCTCAACAAGCAGTCAAACCTCCAGCCCCGAGAGAAAGAGCTCCTAGCCACAACACCAAGGTCAAGAGTTCAGGTCAACTCATGGACATGGCCCCACTCTGCCCCAGCAGATCTGTTCTCTGATCCTGTGTGAGCCAGTCTCACTGCTTCCGGTAGCCTGCCCCTCAGCCTCTCCCCCTCTCCCCCAGACCCTTTGGTTATGGAGGTGCTGGCACCAGCCCTCATCCCGCCCTGGGGGGCAGATCATGGTGATAGCACTTGCATTCTTGTGGTGCTTCTTGGCCTTGCCAAGTGACTTCAGATCTGTTATCTTCACAGGAGACCTGCCAGGAGAGTGTTACTATGACCCTCCCTGAACAAATGAGTCCATTGAGGCTGGGGAGACTGGGTGGTGCCAGCCTGAGCTCCTTCCTGTAGTCCAGACCTTGTGTGAGTCCCCAGGTTCTGGGCCTAGGTCAGTGTCTAGCAGCACGGGCACCACAGAAGGGTACTGTGGGCACCCAGATGCTGGGACAGGGGACAAGGAAAGGCCGAACTATGGTGGATATGATGTAGGTTTCTGTGAAGGGCTTTGGATGGAGAAAAGGAAGCTATCAATTCAGCAACCCAAGCCAGGAAGAAAGAGAGGCATCAGGGAGGTTCAGATGAGGGCAGAAACCCAGGGAGGGGCCCAGACACAAGGCAGGCTCTGGAGATCTGTGGCATCTGCGGCCACATCTTAGGCCTGAGCCCAGGTCTGTGGCTCCTCCTTCCCCAAGGTCCGGAGAGTCAGCCTCCAATGAGTGGCCAAGGGTGAGAGTCTCCCAGCCCTGGCCTCCAGAGGCAGCTCTTGGCAATTTTCCTGCAGAGCAAACAAGAAAGGCAGGATGCTCCCTGTCCATAGCCCCCAGAACGAAGCGTGGTGTCCCACTCCTACCCCAGGAAGTCAGGGAACGAGAGGCTGGCTGTGGGGTGACACATGCCTACTTCCTGTTGACCAAGTATGTGGCCTTGGGCAAGTGTCTTTCTCTCTGGACACTGTCTTTTTGTGTGTAATGGAGAACGGCACCTGCTCAGATGTGAAGGACAAGCGAGGTTCACGGTGTGGCCACCAGTGGCTGTCTTAACATTTCTCTCTAGGAAGAGCCTGGGCGGCAATGTGGTTGGAGGTGGGGGAGCTCAGTAACCTGCCCTTGCTTATTTAAATGTTGGGGTGGCTTGTGGGGAGGGGCTGATGGAGATGGTGGGGGCCGAGGATCCCCACACTCTATGCTCGTCCTTGGCAGCCCCCCACGCCCACTCCTCCGCCTGCCCTAGCACACCAAGGGTGTGTCCTTTGAAAAGGCCAAAGCTCCAAATGAGTGGACATATGGTGGTTTCATCATCCTGGTTTTTCTTCCAAAAACCTTCCCTGTGCTGCTCCAACGAGCCATAGGGGCTCCCACGCTCCAGGCAGCTGCAGTCGCATGTGGTTTTACAATTATCAGTCCCTCTGGGTGCACAGGAAGCCAGGCCCAGGCCCCCTCAGCCACCACCCCTCTGGCCCAGGGGCGCCACTGAGTCTGAGAGGCGCTTCAGGGAAGGGTGGGTCCAGCCTGCTTTGTTCTGGGTGTTGGGTGGGGCACAGTGCTTCCTGCACCCTACCCTTACCCCCACCCTGACTAGCCACCCTGGGGTGCTCAGCAGAGGAGGCCACTCAAGGTGGGTGGCCTCTTGGGGATCTGCCTCTGTGAAGCATGGGCCACTCTGTGCATTTGGGGCCTGAGGAAACAGGCTGGGGGAGAGGACCGGCCAGACCCCAGCAAGAAGCCGTGCTGGGATTCGAACTCAGACTGTCTGCCCAAGGCTGTGCTCTGCATGCAGCCTGAGGTGGCATGCTCTGAACAGAGGGCAGGCGTGGTGGCTGGGTGTCTCAGCCCCTCTCCCCAGCCTGCTGCCTCGCAAGTCTTGTGACCAGCCCATCTGAGATAAGACCAGGGCACTGGGTTGGATTGTGGTTAACTTCTTTGTTTCCTTTGGTTTTTTTTTCTTTTAAAGATGAACGGTAAGGGGATCTTAACCCCTGACTTGGTGTTGTCAGCACCACGCTTACCCAGTGAGCAAACCGGCCATCCCTACGTGGGATCCGAACCCGGGGCCTTGGTGTTATCAGCACCGCACTCTCCCGAGTGAGAAAACAAAAAACTTCTTTGTTTTCTAAGGAGCAGGAGAATGGGATCAGATCTTACAAGGATCCTCAACAGATGAGACAGCTTCTGCGGGAGGGGACAGAGTCAGCCGCAGCAGCTGTGGCAGGCCCTTCTCTTTGCCTCCTGGGTCCTGGGCTCTAAGGAAATACGGGACAGATTGCCCCTGAGTCCTCTTACTCTGGCGGCTTGGGGAGCTGGGAAAAAACACCCCTCCTTTGCCCAGCCTCTGAACAGGGGATTTCTCACTTACCTAGCATGGTGGCAGCGGGGGAGGAGGCGGTGTGGGGACTAGCCCTCCATCCGGGCAGCCACACCTTTGTCCGCATCCACTAGTCCTTCCTGAACACACATCAGGGCTGAAGACCCCGATCTGCAAAACCCAAACCAGGGGCATGAGCTCAGGGACAGCAGTGGGGGAGACGCCTGCCCTGGGCCCCTCCTTTAAGCCTCAGCCCGGCAGACACTTCCCGGGGCAGCCTGGGGAGGTTCACATCCCCTCTGCCACCCCCACAGATGGCACGTGATCAATGGAGGCCAGGCCAGGCCAGGCGGCCGTGCTGCCCCAACTCACATTCCACAAGCTAGGTTCTGTTTCTTTGATGCTCGGACAGCTTGAACAAGCACACTGCACCTCTCTTGGGTGACCCCTGCAAGCTAACGGGCTGCCCCAAGCTTTTAGGGCCCCAGGCCAGCGTGACAGCTGCGGTCTGGCAGGGGGTGGGGTACAGGATCTGAAAGCTTTTTCCTTTTATTTATTTATTTATTTTTATTTTTTTCCTTTTTGTCTTTTTTCGTGACCGGCAACGGATCGCAACCCTCAGTGTCGCACCCGTACCGGACCGGGACCGGCAACGGGATCGCAACCCTCGGTGTTGCACCCGCACCTCGCTCAGCGAGTGAGTGGCCGGTCTGTATGTGGGATCCGAACCCTTGGCGGGAGCGCCGTTGCGCTCCCAAGCGGCGCACTGTAGCAGTGCGCCACCGGGCCGGGCCAGCTTTTTCCTTTTAAAAGGCGCTTTAGATTAGAAACATGGTGGAAATCAGACTCTGGAGCTGGGTAGACCTGGGTTCAGTCTGTTCCACAATTGCTATTCAAGCCGTCCTGTCATGGGCTCTTCTGATGTGAAATGGGAGAACACAGACCGCCCTGGGTGGCGAGGGTCCAGGTAAACCTGGCAGGGGAGAAGCCACACGGGAGCAACTGACAGGTACAGGCAGGGCTGGCGAGCCCCACAGCATGTCAATTCACGTGATGGTGGCTCAGATACCAGCTGTCCCATCAGACGCCAGCCACACCAGGTGTGACCTGGAGCACATACCTGGCTCCTCAAGCCCTCGGTTATATCCTGCCTTTTGTCACGAGTCTGCCTGGACTGCCCCTCAAGTCTGCACCCTTCCATGGTGCGTCACTCCAAATTTGTCACCCTTCCATCTGTTGGTACAGTGTCCCTATCTGTGACATCAGCTGGCCCTGGTCGGCCCCACCCTTGTGTTTTTGTTGATGCTCTATCTGCTGCATCTGTCTTTAAACCACCCTTGGGGACAGCATGGAGCCGGGCTGGCTCTGGAGCAGAACCCCATGTTTACTTGACCCTCCCGGTGCCGAGAGCCCCGCCCCCGCCCACCTGTCTGTCTGTAGCTCAGGTGGGGCGGGGCGCCAGCCTGGCTCTCAGACGCTCTCCCAACTGCTGTAACAAACGACTCTTGCTCAGCTCCCATCTCATGCAAGGAAAGGGGGCCATCAGCCCCTTGGGGGACCCCTTCTCACTACCCCCATTTGCAGGCCGCACAGCAGAGAGTGGGCAGAGATGGCCACCTCACCCTGGCAGCCTTGCCATTGTCCCTGCTGGCATCTTGGCCCCCCAGTGCTCTGCCAGCACCTGCTGTGGGGAGGAGGGCCCTGGGCTCTTGCCCCTAGAAAAGACAACTAAGCACCAGGAGCAGATTCAGCATAATTAAAACTTTTTTTAATGCAAGGAAAAAAGTCTTCGGTCTTTAGTCACTTCTTCCCACAGGAGTGAACAAGCCACTGCCTCTCGCACAGTGAGATCCCAACGAGGGTGCCCCTCCGTCTACCTCCTCCTGACACCATATGAGATGACGGGCCGAGGCAGCGGCAGGGAACGAGGCCAGGCCTGGAGACTAGGACCCAGCAGGGTTGAGAGCAGAGCAGCCGGGGCAGGGGATGACCCGCTGAAGCCACCTACGGGAGTGTCTGGTAGGAAGCCCAGGTGAGCAGCGCACTGACCACCCGGCAAACCGACCGCAGGCCCCTGGACAGCCCAGGCAGAGCAGAGAGAGGCTGGGACCAGCCACTCTCTGGCTCCGGTTTCTCTTTGCCCAGCCTGGGGGGGGGGGGGTGTTCTAGTGACATCCAAGCCACACGCACTGCCCTCCTTCACTCAAGAGAGGAAGGAGAAACTGAAGGGCGATAAGAGGGAAGGTGCTGGGTTCTCCCCGTCCCTGCTGCCCAGACACGAGGCCCAGGCCACAGCCATGGGCTTCCTTTCCAGGACCAAACCACACCAGGTTCAGGAGGACCCACCACCTACCCAAAGGGTGAAGAACATACCAAAAAGCTCCAGTGAAGTGAGGGGGTAGGAGCTGGGATGACAACCCCCTACTCAGCCAGGAAATAAACCCTGGGGCCCCTGGAGGGGCGTACTCCCCACCCACCCACATCTAAGGGCTCCTGGGTGGAGCTACCCCCAGGCTGGAGCGTGGGGAAAGGGAGACAAAAATCACAGCTTCTGAACAAGTGGTCAGGAAGTCACTGGAAAATTCAGTCAAGTATGAAAGGTGTCACTTCACAGAACAAAAACTAGCATATATTTTTCTGGAAGATGCTCTCTCTTCACCCCCCAAAAAGACAAAGGCTGGGCCTTGCTTCTGTGACTGCCGAGCTGGGGTGGAGCGTCAGGGCCGGTGGGTAGGAGGAAAGAGTGGGGCGCCCTGGCAGCCGTGCCAGGAAGGGGAAAGGCACAAGAACCAGCTGCACACAGGGCGCAGGGAGGGGCTGGCGGGGCAGGAAGCCCCTGCCCCACGGAGCCACCCTCAGCTGAGACACAAACCGAGGGTGCCCAGTGTCCCTGTGCACAAAATCCTGGCCTGGCAGCCGCCAGAAGGGGTGCACTAGGTGGGCGGGCAGGCCAGCGCCCTGTGGTCACAGGGGCTGCCACGCTGATCGGCCAGAGCCAGGGCCAGAGCCTGGGAGAGGACAGAGGCTGTGCGTGCATGGGGCTGTCAGACAGAGGAGGAGGCAAGAGAGTGCTGCCTCTAACGTTATATATTAAAAATATCCATAGTTCTGGTGCATAAAATTCCATCATTCACATACGAGTACCACCCCTACCTCCCCCACTGGGCCCAGGAACAGCCTTAAAAGAAAGATGGTGGTTTTCCTTTTCAAGAGCTGAGGAAACATCCGCTCAGTCTTTATGGACCTTGAGAAATGGTGCCCCTTCCCCTCCCTGCAACCTCTGTCCCCCAGGCCTCTGCCTGCCCGGGTGGCATGGGGGACACACAGAAGGGGAGACCGGTCACTGCTGCCTCCGCTTGGAGGGCGGGATCAGGTGTGGGGGCAGGTCAGCGGGCAGCTCGTGGCCCTCCAGCTTGACCTTGATGAGGTGGTTGGCCAGGGCAAACTCTTCGTCGTCCAGCAGCCCATCCTTGTCCACGTCGGCCAGCTTCCAGATCTTCCCCAGCACGGTGTTGGGCAGCTTGGACTTCACCATTTCCTTCTTAGCGTTGGCGCCCGTGATCTTGCCGTTGACGGGTGACAGCGTGTAGAAGATCTCGTCGTAGGTGGGCTTGTCCTTGCCCACCACCCACTCAATATCATCGATGCCCTCGCCAGCCCCCTCGCCATAGCCGTGCCCAAAGGGCCCGTTCATGGTGCCTTCGAAGGCACCGCCCTTCACGGCCTGGGGGGGCATCAGCGACTCCTCCTGCCGCACCATCACCATCAGCCGGGCGATGTCGTTGGCCAGCATGTCATCCACTGTGTCCAGCAGTTTGGGCTTCAGGGCCTGGAACTTGCTGAAGTCCTGGGTCTGCAGGAGTTCCTGTGGTGGGTGGAAGGAGGAGAGGGCTGGGGAGGACGGCCCCACCCAGACTGTACGCGGAGTGCCTACAGCAGGGCTTCCTGGGCGGAAAGGGCTGGTTTCCCCCTTCCCAGCCTGGGCAACTTAGTTAACCCCTCAGGCTTGGCACCCTAACCTGTGAGCAGGAGGTAGTAACAGCGCCCTCCTGGCAGGGCTGTGGCAAGGGTTAACTGACAGGACGCCCCACAGCCCTGGCCCCCCACCACTCTGGGTGAGTCACCACATTCTCCTGCACAGTGCAGTGCCTGGGTCAACCTCTGGCTCGGGTGGGGTGCTGGTGATCAACCAGCTGCTTCCGTTTGGGGAGGCCCCACCCCAAGCAGCCGGGATTCCCTCCAGAAGCACTGCCCCAGTGCCCTGGGCCTTCCTCACTTCCTGACAGCCACCAGCCCACGTGGGGCACTTGTGACGGCCGTACCTGCATCTTGCGGAGGCTCGGGAAGTCACCGGGGGAGATCTGTTGCTCCCGCTCAATCTTCTGGTAGATCTCTCCCAGGTTGTTCACCAGCTCTTTCTTTTTGCTCTCTTTGCCGAAGACGTTGGGCATCTCCTTCTTCAGGGAGCTGATGATGTAGGCGTGGACCTGCGAGGACAGGGAGGGGAGGGTGCCAGGTACCGCCTTGGTACCACCCTGGGCTGCCCAGAGAGCCTTTGAGGACACTGCCAGGCGCCTGCTGCTCACTGCTGGGGAACAGGGAAGCAGAAACTCAAAGCTGCTGCTGCCATCAAGGGACCCCACTGGCCTAACAGCAGACACTCAATTCCAGCAAGAGGCAGACTGCTCGCCGCCATGGGGACGGAGGGAAGGAGAGAAAGACGCAGCTAAAACAAGACCGACAACAGCCTCGCAGAAAGTAAAACCTAGTCAGTCCACAGAGAGAAGGCCACCTGTTGAGCACCTCTAGGAACTTGACAGGCTCTCTCCGGGCATCCTCACCCTCACCCCATGGGTGGGATCATTACTCCACCTTGTTCCCGAGTAAGGCTCAGAGAGGCTGAAAGCCTTGCCCAGGCACTTGGCTACTAGGTGGCAGAGCAGGGACCACAATGTGGGAACGCTGAGAGCACTGCAAAGCCCAGGCTCCTGTTTCTCTGTGCCCCCTTCCCCAGCTGCCCCTCCCATGCCCGGGGAGGTGCCCATGTTTCCTGCACTCGCACATGTGCAGATGCTCATGCAGAGTTCACCCAACTCCACTTCATCATCATGACAGCCTCAGAATGATGGGGGATTAGAAAAATCCCATAAAGGCTTTTCCCAGCTGTTTCAAGCCTTATCTAAGCTGCGGTACCTTGCTCAGGCAATTGCCAACTGAGTGCCACACTCCCTTCATTCCCCCAGCGGCCCCCTCCCAACTGCGGCCCGGCCCTGGAAGGCTGCAGCCAGCAGCCCCCTCCTCTCCAAGGCCAGCTCTCCCCACCCAACGCCCCCGCTCAGCCTGACCCCCATATGCACCGGGCAGCAGCCTGGACGAGAACTACCCGAGGGAAGCAGCCCCACAGCGCCATCTGGGCTGGCATCCAGGATTTCCCAGGGATGAGGCAGGCAGATCACAGAGAACCAGTCACTGCTGTGCCCAGCACAGGCCAGAGCGAGTCAGTGCAGGGAACGCCACTTGCTCCAGGAAAAGGAAGCCATCTCAGAACAGCAGGTGTGGGACCAAACTGGAGACCACGGGGTTTTCCAGGCCTGGTGACTCAATGTCCTGCGGGCAGGCAGTTACACGCTCTCTCAGATGAGCAGGCGGGAAGCTGGTCTGCCCTTTGTTGTCATTCCTGGAAGGAGGCTGAGCAAGGGAGAGGCGGGGCAGCTCTCCGTGCCCTGCAAGGAGAGGGGCTCGGCAGGGCCACCCCCATCAACTCAAGACACCCTTGGTCCTCTGAGGCTGTGAGCCAGTCACATGGATTCTCAGACATGGCTCCACTCATGAGGAGATGCAAGTGAGACATCTACAAAAACGTGCAGCCCTGTCCCCTCCAGAGCAGGCTTGTGACCCATCCCTATGTGCACAGGCCACCAGAGATTCTGCTCCAGCAGGGTGGAGCAGGGCCAAGAACCCGCACTTCCTACAGGCTGCAGGCCCATGAGCATTTGGGGTAGGTGGGGACCCAGCGGTGGCAAAGGACGAAGGGGCAGCCCTTGTTACTCAGGCACTGCAGTCTTGATACCTCTGAGCTGCGAACAGCAGGCAGGAGCAGGGGCTCTCCAGGAAGTGCCCTTCCTCAGCCCTCAGTACACTCGGGAGTGGGCACCACGGTGTGGGCCACAGCAGGGCCTCACTGCAGCCGCAACACCACACGCACCTGCCCTCTGCTGCGGTCGCCGCACTGGCTCACCGGCGGATCGGCGATGTGGCCTCACGCGCCCAGCTTGGTCTTGGCCTAAGAGGGAGCTGCGGCCACAGCCTATTTTTTAAACAACCAAATCTTGTGCTAAAAGCGTCTAAAGGAACAGCTAGATGCCCCTGCTAAAATGCAAGTGTTTGAACTTGGTTGACCATTTCTCACCTGTTCAGACGCACTATGTCAAATGCTCCTGTCCAAAGGGTCAACCCCAACTGCAGTGGGAACCATCCCTCATATTGCCTTAATCTGAGCAGGCTCCTGATGTGCCGCTATTCCATGCCAGACATCCTAAGGGACACATTCTGTCCCTCTGTGTTGGAAGTGACCCCTGGTGGCATCAACCTTCATTCCCTAGCCCAGCCACTCTGGGCTTTGACACAAGTTCCTGGCTAGGCACTGAGGTTCCAAAGTCTGAGCGATCAGATGCCACTGTCAGGTTCCAGTGGGCCCTGTGCTACTACAAAAGAGTAGGGGATGGCTTAGGAGGCTGCGTGGACTGACGCCCCCTCATCGTGGCCTGGGCTTCAGCGCCCAGTGCTCTCTCTGGGACACGGACTGGTGCCCCATCTCTTCACTAGCCACTTCCTGTCCCAAGGCCTCCCCCATCCCTCCACTCCATGGGCACAGCTCCTGTCTGTTAGTTCCTGCGGCACCCTATGCTCATCCTGTGACAACACAAGAAAACCACTGCTCACCTTTCATTTGTGCAGTCTGTTTTTCCCATGAAGGCTGAGGAGTGCTAGAAGGACAGGGGCTGTGTGCATCCCTACCCACCATGTCCCCAGGGTCCAGCACCATGCTCAGTGCACTTCAGTGCTCAATAAATCCCACAGGGGAAGCCACTGAGCCCAGATCTACCTTCCAACACACATTTCATTTCCAAGGCTGCCTTCTCTGCTTTGGTGTAACTTCCCGTTTGACATTTCTATGTTGTAAGCACATTCAAATCCTTCTTTGAAATAGTTGGGGAATAAACCACAAACAGAATGGGTTAGAAGGGAGGCCAGGTAAAGAATCTTAGTTAACAGCAGGCTGCAGCATGGGTCTGGAAACAGCACAGCACAGGTCTGGCCATGCAGACAGCTGGGATGGGTCTTGGGCAATCCTGGGGTCCCAAGTGCCAGTCCCAAAGCCCCTGGGCCCTGCCCAGCAGGCCACTCCTCCCGCCCCTGGGGTCTACCTTGGCCAGCCTTGCTCGTTTGATCAGGTCGTTGAGTTTCCTGAGGGCAGCGTTTCGGGGCAGAGATTGGATGTCTTTGAAGAGGTCCTGCTCCTCAGCTTCGAAGAGCTTGCGGTTGTCGGGGATGAGTAGTGGGTGGGACCAGAAGGAGCCAATGTAGACCCTGACCACCTCGGGGGTGTTGATGATCTTGCCCAGGGACCACATGAGGGCCCCGTACACTCGCATCAGCTGCTGCGTCTCGATCTGGTCAGCCTTGTTCAGCACCACACGGATTTTGTCCTCATGGTTCTTGAGAGCCTTGATGACTTCTGAGAACTCGTCAGAGATGTCCAGCTTGTGGGCGTCAAAGAGCAGGATGATGCGATCCACACGCTCAGCAAACCACTCCAGGACGGCCGCAAAGTCATAGCCTGGAGGGGAAGAGAAGGGTAAGCTCAGGGCACCAAGGGGCCAGACTGCTCTGATGGCTCTGGCCTCTCACTCGGCCCGAGGTCATTTTTAAATTCCCAGAATGCACTCATCTGGACAGGAGAGCACCCTGAGGGCAGGATCATCAGGTTGCTGCTATTTTTACACCTGCCACAGCAGTACCCTCACCCATGTGGCTCCTGGCAGGAAGAGGTGCCAGTGCAAAGGAAGTCACAAAGTACAAGCTCTAAGTGGTCAGATCAGGGCAATAGAAAGGTGGAGACCCCAGCAATGTGGCTCAGCACAGTAGATTCGGGCTGCCACCCGCCAGCTGTGTGCCCCTTGACAGTAGTGACAATAAATCCCAGCAACAGTGACTGCAGCTACCTGTTCAGTGCTTATGTGCCAGGTTCCCTATTTTAAAGTTATCTCATTTGTTCTCTATAACGGGCTGGCAAGCTACAGCTGAGGGACCAAATCAGGCCCAACACCTGTTTATGTAAATAAAGTTTTACTGAGACACTGCCACGCTCATTTGCACTGTCTATGGCTGCTTTTGCCTACAACGGCAGAGTTCGGTTGTTGCGACAGAAACCATAAAGCATGCAAAGCTGAAATATTAACTATCTGACCCTTCCAGAAAAAGTTTGCTGACCTCTGCTCTACATCAAGCCCACGAAGTGCTACAAATCACTTCCCCTCTCTAGGTCTTAAATACTTCTCTAAAGCAAAGGGCTGGACTAGACAGACTCTACCTCTAAACCCTATTCAACGCTGTCTCCCACCACCCCATTAAAGCCGGCCAATTAAAGTGAACTGTGCCATCTGTGATGGAGACTGCTAATTAGAATTCATCCTTTAATAACAGATCTATCTAGTTTTAGCTGGATTCGTGGCCTACCAGATTAGGCTGCATTTTCCAGCCTCCCTTGCAGCAGAAATGAACAAGAAAAGGTGTATGAGCTCTTTGTCATTTTCACCCTTCCTGAGGACTGGGATGCAGGTGTGATGGTAGGAGCTGGAGCAATCACCTTGGGTTCAAAGATGAAAGCTGCATGTTCAGGATGGCTTTGGACTGTTATTTTTCACATAAACAATCAGATATCTGATTTAAGCCAATGGATTTTTGGGTCTCTGTAACAGTGGTTTAATTGGTATCCTATTTGAAAACTATGCCTCTATAAAATGTTTTCACGCCTCCCAGTGCCCACAGGAGAAGACAGGAAGTCCATGTGGAAACAATGGCCTAGAGGCTTTGGGGAGCTTGGGTCCCAGCCCCTGAGGTGCCCTTTCCTCTCTGGGTAATTCTGGCCAAGCCTCCTTCTCCTTGGGCTTAGTCTTCTCCTTCTTTACCTGCTACCCCTAGGTCCCAGGCCACCAAAAATGGAGGCCGGCCCTCTTAGGAGCCACCAAGTACCTCCCAGAGAGCAGGCAAGCTCCTGAGAACACACCAGAGGCGCCACTCCTATGCAGAACAGTCTAGGACACTGCCTGGCTACTGGCCAACACCATCTCCTCACGCCCCACAGGCTGCTCCCCGCATCCCCTGTGAGAAACACTCAGTACCCCCTGGCCAAGCTGGGGAGTTCTGTTCCCAAGGCTGCAGGGAACAGAAACATAGCAGGTAGAGGAGAGAAAAGAGAAAGACAAGGAGTCAAGGAAAAGCAGAAGCTGGGCACAGGGCAACCAACAGTGCTGCGAGGAGGCAGCCCCCAGCGTCCCTCCCCTGGGGACCTGCAGAGGAACTCCTCCCATGAGCCCTGAGGGCACACATCTGCTGCTTCCCATCTTGAAGCCCCCTGGGCTCCAGAGGTGGCCTCCCTCACAAGGGCTCTAAGCTAAACAGCTGACATCATGAGGCGCACCCAGGGCAAAGCTCTGCTCAGTGAGGCGCCATTCCACTGCCAGGCAGCCCAGGTTCAAGTACGCTTCAGAGTCATCCGTGAGCCTGAAGCCACAGGGTGCCAAGCCTCTCTCGCACTTGGGGCACCCAGAAAGAAGAACATGAGCTTTGAAGTAAGATGGTTCTGGATACAACTCCCAGCTCCAGCCACTGACTCTGTGACCTTAAGTTCTTTTGTTAACTTCTGACTTATGCTTTCCGCATCTGCAAAACTCAAATAACTATTCTTCCTCCTGGGATTACAGGAGGATTCAATGTGGTAACGCATCGGGCTTCTAGCTCGGGATGGACTCAGAATGGCCACGTGAGTCGGGCAGGCTCAGGTGAGGAGATGACAGGGCCCCATAAGGACAGGGGGCCGAGCGGCTGGGGACTCCATCACCAGTCAGGAACGAAGAGTGATGAATATTCAGCCTGGCTCTGAGGCCACAGGCCAGCTTTGGTCTTTGAGACAAGTCACCAAAACATAAGGAAACTCCCAAACTCAAAGTGTCAGTCTACTTAGCATGGGCGGAGACCTGCAACCCTTTTCCTGCCCCGGCACGGCACATCGGCACATCGAGGAAACAGGACACTCTGATCAGAAACAGCCCCTCAGGGCCGGCCCGGTGGCGCACTGGAGAGTGCGCCGCTTGGGAGCGCGGTGGCGCTCCCGCCGAGGGTTCGGATCCCATGTGGTGACCAGTTCCCGCTCACTGGCTGAGCGTGGCGCGGGCGCAACACTGAGGGTTGTGATCCCGTTGCCGGTCCCCGGTACGGGCGCGACACCAAGGGTTGCGATCCCATTACCGGCCAGTAAAAAAGACAAAAAGGAAAAAAAAAAAAAGAACCAGCCCCTTGAGGGCCCTGGACCACAGTCTGGGCAGGGAGGCCCAATCTTCCAATCCTTCCACAGGCTCGTGAACCAGCCCCTTGAGGGCCCTGGACCACAGTCTGGGCAGGGAGGCCCAATCTTCCAATCCTTCCACAGGCTCGTGTGGATGGTCGGGGCCAGCAGACCTAAGGGATGCCCCGCAGTTGGTGGGTGTGGAAGGGCATCAAGCAAGTGCCAGGTTACCCCATGCCAGCTGCCAGCCATCACCACAAGCTGCTGGTTCTAAAGTACAAGGCCCTGGGCAGGGCTGGCGCATGGCTCACTCGAAAGAGTGCGGTGCTGATAACACTAAGGCCACGGGTTCGGATCCCATACAGGGATGGCCAGTTAGCTCACTGACTGAGCGTGGTGCTGACAAGGCCCTGGGCACCCTGACACCCTGCAATTGGCTCAAGGAGCCACAAGAGGGGACATCCAGAGAGTGAAACCTCAGCAGAAAACCAGAGGAGAAGGCTGAGGAGCAGCCTGAGGAGAGCCGCCCCCAGGCCAGGCCTCGCCCGGCTGAGCCGGCAGGGCCCTCCTGGGCCCACAGCCTTTTATGGCCAGATCTGGGAACAGGTCAGCACTGAAAAAGTGATGACTCAAGGACTGAACAGAGGCTCCCTGCTCAGCAGAAGTGAGGCCCCTCTTCTCCCCTGCAGAATTGTGTGTCCTCAGACCCCCACAAGCTGAAACCACAATTCAGCTGGGGAGGCAGGAAGCCAAAGGCGCGCTGCTGGGAGCAGGGGCGCCCTAATGGGCTGTTCTCAGTCCTGCTAGAGTTGGCTGGGAGTGAGACAGCAAGCGCCTGGGGAGCTGCAGTCACTCAACTCCGCCCAGTGTGGCCTCACTGCCTCCTCCTCCTGGATGGCGGGTGACCCAGGGAAAGAAAGGAGGAAGAGCAGTGAGCGAATCACGCACCAAACTCCCTGCGCAGGTCCATGCTGAGACCACCCCGCCCACATACAGGCACTGGCCACGCCTCCAGCTGGAGTCAACCGATCTAAGGTCACTTTTTTGCAGGTAAATGAAATTTCCTGTTTATTACGGAAAACACTCACACTTTTGGTGTAAGGAAGACACAGTGGCTGGCCAAGTACACCCAAAGGCCACAAAAGATTCACAGCACTCAGGCCTGCTCCATGTCATCAGAGGTGTGTGACTTCGTGGCTGCAAAACACCACCAGCCCACCCCATACCCTGGAGCCCACCTGTCCCTCCCTCCCCTCGATATGCCCTACTCGGCCTGAAAGACCAAAGAGGCGCCGAAGGCTGCACCACATGCATCAGATCCCCACACCCGGCAAGAGTGGCCGAAGCAGCCACCATTGGGCTGAGCTTGGCAGCAAGTGACAAGTACAGAAATCAGCTGCTCCCCCCTCCCCCTCCCCAGCCTTCAGGTTTTGGGACACACCAGAGAAGGAATCAGGTGTCAGATGCGACCTACAACAGCAATTCCGCAGCAAAAGTGGGAAACCGTGGTGTGCTTGTGAGAGGTGGGGCACTGTGCTGTTCGCTCTGTGTGGCTCAGGCCCGGTTGGGAGTGACAGAAGTGACAGATACATTCTCCACAAAGGGCACAGAAAACGTGGCCTGAGGGGATGGGCTGCGAAGAAAAGGCCAACCTGCAGTGTGATTTCAGTGAGAAAAGCCAGAGCCACCACTGATAAGGGACCATGAGTTGCCGCCAGGACAAGTTCTGGCTCAGAAGGTCCTGGGACCTTGAGGACATTGTGCTAAGTGAAATAAGCCCATCACAAAAGAACAAACACTGTGCGATTCCACCTGTACGAGTTCCCTAGAGCAGTCAAATGCAGAGACAGAAAGTAGAATGGTGGGTGCCAGGGGCTGGGGGAGGAGGAGGGGGAGCTAGTGTTTAATGCGGACAGAGTCTCAGCTGGGGAAGACGGAAAAGTTCTGGTGGTGATGGTTGCATAACAAAGAGAATGTACTCAATGCCACTGAAGGATACACTTAAAAATGATTAAAGTGGCAAATCTTATGTTAGGTATGTTTTACCATAATTTAAAAAAAGAAAGAGGTTGGCTGGTTAAGTCAGTTGGTTAGAGCACAGTGTTGTAACACCAAGGTCAAGGGTCCAGATCCCTGTACCAGTCAGTGGAAGGGAAGAAGGGGAGAGAGAGAGAAAGGGGCAGAGAAAGAAAAGGAGAGGGAGGGAGGGAGGGAGGGAGGGA